ACACAGTTCTGCAAAAATAACGGTGTGTGCTGAGCTGATTGCTTCTGGCGGATGGCTCCATCTCCTGATTGGACTAGGGGAACGTTGTTTTAGTTTTATGTAGAGGTTAAAACCTTCTTCCTTTAAAACTCTTGTTTCTGAACAGACCCGGCCCTGCCAGCCAGGTGAGGAAAGGAATCGTGTTGCTCTGCCCTGCCTGGTGTGCCCTCGAGCACTCGGGGCAGGTTGGCTGCCACAGTATGAGAAGGCCCAAAGGAGGGCTGCAGAGATGGGGAAGAGTCTGAGGGCAGGGTGCGTGAGGAGCGGCTGAGGTCCCTTGGTTTGTTCAGCGTGGAGCAGAGGAGGCTGAGGGGAGGAGGAATCATGGCGGCCTGCATCTCCCTCGGATGCCTGCAGTGTGCCATGGCCAAGCTCAGGGATCAGGCTGAGATTGAGCCTAGAGAGTGGCCCAAATGCATTTGGTGATACGCGACCTTTTTTTTCACCGTTCTCTTCTGGAGAAATACTGCTTATCCTTGAGGCATTCTGTAGTAATCAGCGTGCTGTCGGCTCAGAGCAGCTCTGTCTTCCAGGCGTTCTAACAGCGCTGCGCAGTGCTCTCAGCCGTTTCCTTACGGTGCACACAGCACCATGCATGCTGCTTTCATCCTGGCACTGCAGGCAGATACTGCAGCAGCTTGTTGCTATTAATAGCCCTGATCTCACTGTCTCTCCGTGTTTCGGCAAGTTGTGACATTTTGGGAAGCCGAGCTGTGCAAGCAGAGCTGTGTCCCCATCGCAGGGTGACGGTCACAGCCGCCTGCCTGGGACCGCTGCCCTGAGCCTGGTGGCGTGCCTTCTTCCCCTGCAAATTGAACGACGTGGTTTTGGAACCTGCATGCAAGCAGCCGAAAATCAAGCTTGGGTTGAGGTCTGTGCACGCACGTCCCCAGCCATCAGGCTGCACAGCACAGACTCTCGCTTTTGCAGTTTTTGTTGACTGTTGCTGAGTGGCTGCTGCTCTGCTATTGGCAAAATCCGGCCAGAGGGCAACACTGGCACACCAGTAATTAGAAAGCAAACTCATTAGTTGGAAATAAAGCACGGGGGAGAAGCTGAGTCAGTGGTGTCTGGAAAGTGCTGGCCAGGGATGTCCAGTCACAGCCCCACGGAGCTGTGGGTTTCTATGGGAGCCCAATTGCTCGCCCAGCAGGGTTTGGTGTGCCTGGGTTGCTAAGCTCATGCTGTCACGGCATGTGGTGGTATGTCTGTGATTCCCTTCCTCTTTGTCACTTTCTGTCCTCTTGCAGCTCCAGCAGTGGATCTGGGGCCTTCTGAGCTGGAGGGAGGGGGGTCTCGGGGAGCACGTTCCTTGCACTTTCTATTTGAAGCTGATGCTAGTTTGAAATAGAGGGGAGGCAGCTTTCTGTGCTGCTTAAATTGAAATGAAAAGAGTCCTTCTGGCGACAGCTTTTGGTTTTTAAAGAAGTAGTTTTGAAAATGTTCTTAAAGTTCAGCTTCAGTAAAGGTTACGCTGAAACAAGGTTTGAATTTAAATGTTTCAGATATCCCGTGTCCTTCTCATACTGAAATTTTCTTTTATCGTACATCTCAGCATGCTTTCAGGACTGAATCCTTCTATTTTGTCAGTCCTTTAAGGACTTCCAAGAAAATGCCGTTTCGGAGAAGAGGGAGAAAATACAGTTATTACTGCAGTTCTTATTTAAATAATGCATGCACATATCTAAATAGCATCTCCCTCTTCTAATCCCTTCCAAACTGCCCGATGCTTGCAGAGAGGTGATTTTTCTGTTGCAGACAAGCCCAACGTACGACTCTGATAATGTATTTATATGCAGCCTTGATGTGAAATGATTTTAATGCCAGACATTTTCTGTAGGAAATGGACCCTTGCTTTGCAAACTGAGCTGATCGGTCTGTTACAGCAAATACATTTAACTGATAGATTCCGTCCTCTGTTGATCTGATAGATGGTGTGGGCAGAGCTGGGAGATGCCAAATTTACAGTCCCAGCCACGAGGCCGCTCTGTGCCTGCAATCGATGAGGGCTGGAATGCTTTAGGTCTTAATTAACGTGCGGCACGCAGGCGGCCTTTGATGTATAGCCATGTTTTATTTATGCGGGGAGGGAAAAGCATCAGAGTGTTTCCAACTTGGTGTAAAAATAATGGTAACCGGACTGTGGAAAAAATCTTTGCACGCCTGGGTTAAATAATAATAATGCTGATAATTCCTCCTGTTTTTTGCGTTGTGTTCTTACAGTGAAGGAAGAGGCAGGGTAACACGAGATAGTTTATTATTCATAATTGAGATCTTGTCTTGTAATTCATGGGTTTGGCATTTCTCATTAAAACTCTGAATATAGTCTTTGTGCTTTTGCTAACGTCATGAATCTGATTGTATTAATATGTTCTCAAGGCAGAACCTATAAAAGCAATTTTCTAGTCTACCATAAAAAATTCATAAGAATACAGGCTTTTTTTGTTTTGATGATGCGTTCATTAACTAGAGAAGGTTTTATTGTTTTCGGGAGGGCCCCGCAGGTCAGAAGCGCTCGCAGCTTCTGTTGGGAACTCATGGCGTTTCCAAGAGTTTCTTGAGACCGAAATAGCAAGAGGCCGGGATGACGCAGCTCTGCGGGGCGATGAATGGGAGCTGTGGCCACGGCGCCCCAGCTGTGCGCAGTGCCAGGCGCTGGGGAGGCTTGCGTGCTGCTGTCCCCAGCTCCGGGAAACGGAGCGTTTGTTGGGTCTTCCCGGGAGATCGGCTGCCTTTCTCTGCGGGTTCGGGCCCTTGTTGTGGAGCAGAGCGGGACAATTTGTCACTGGCACAGTTTGAGCTCCCAGCTCCCGTGCTTCTAGGTAGTGAGAGCCTGGTTTGCTGTCCTGGTCGGTGGGTTTGATCCTCCCGCATTAAATTCTTGGAGCTCTTCTCCAGCTCTGGGACTATGGAGTTACAGCAAACCATACTCTGGTGTGTCCAGGAGCTCTGGAAAAATACAATGTGTGCCTTTGGACAGGGAAGAAGGCAGGCTGGGAGAAGCTGTGGGTTCATGTGTTTGTTACATCAGGGTTTGCTTTCTGATCACTTGGGGTTTGATTGGGCTGCATTAAAAAAGGGGTGGCCAGCAGGGACAGGGAGGTGATCGTCCCCCTCTACTCGGCTCTTGTGAGGCCCCATCTCCAGGCCTGGGGCCACCAGCACAGGAAGGACTTGGAGTGGGTCTAGAGGAGAGCACTGAGATGGTCAGAGGGCTGGAGCAGCTGTCCTATGGAGAAGGGTTGAGGGAACTGGGATTGTTTAGCTTGGAGAAGAGAAGGCTGCAGGGAGACCTCATTGTGGCCTTCCAGTATTTGAAGGGAGTGAATAAACAGGAGGGGGAATGGCTGTTTGTGAAGGTGGATGGTGATAGGACAAGGGGGAATGGTTTTAAAGTGAGACAGAGGAGGTTTAGGTTGGATATTAGGAGGAAGTTTTTCACCCAGAGGGTGGTGAGGCACAGGAACAGGTTGCCCAAGGAGGCTGTGGATGCCCCATCCCTGCAGGCATTCAAGGCCAGGCTGGATGTGGCTCTGGGCAGCCTGGGCTGCTGGTTGGCGACCTGCACACAGCAGGGAGTTGGAATTGGATGAGCATTGTGCTCCTTTGCAACCCAGGCCATCCTGTGATCCTATGATTTGGTGGGCTGAAGTAGAGTAAAGCCCTGCTGAGTTGTTTAATTCGGTTCCATCTTCTTTTAGAGATGAGTCTGAACCTTGCTGTGAAGCTGCTACACTTGCAGAAAATGGGGCTGAAGCACAAAGTCCCCAGTATTTGCTGCCAAACGAAGTTGCTGCTGTTCCAAGAGCAGCCACTCAGCATCTGTCACAACATTCGGTCCTCACGTTAGTGTGAGAGTGTGAGAGCCATAATGCTTAGATTCAGATGATTCGGTTGGGTTTTTGAGAGCCACACCAGGCACTGCCCCACACTCTGTGCTGCCAGCCTGCCCTGCAGGTGAGAGCCCTGGAGAGAGGGATGCAGGAAGGAAAACACGGGGGAAGAACTCATGGGCTGAATAACGGCAGCACTTCCAGCAAGGTGACCTTTTACAGAAAATATTTCCACCCAAGAGCAGCCTCCTCCTCCCTGCATGAGCTGAGCTCCTTTCCCTGGGCAAAGTGCAGGTAGGTGCCTGCGGGTCTCATTGTGGGCACCTTGTGCTCCTCCCAGCCCAAATCTGGCTGCGTGCTGTGGTGTTGCATGGCAAAGGTGCTGACAGCAAAAACAAGCATCCTTGTTTGTGTTGGGTGCTGTGTAGCTGGGTCCAGGTGCCCCAGAGAGTGCAGTGGATGGAAGGATGTGGGCTGCTCGCTCCGTGTGCTTGTCTCACCTCCCTGAAAAGGTGGCTGGAGTACTACCTGGTCAGGCTTAAAATGAAATAAGAGCTTAATTTGTAGGGAAATTTGCTGTCCTTTGCCCTTTTCTTGGTTGTGTTTCAGCATTGTCTCCCTCAGAGTCTGAGTTAGAGGCACGTTGGGGCACTTCCCCGGGCCCAAACATTTACGCCTGTCTGGTTGTTGCAGCAGCGAACTCTAGATTGTCACAGGAGCCCTTCATTATCCATTTGCTTTTGTTCAAGCTCCTTTCAGAAAAATATTATGAAGGATACAGTGTGTAGTGATTTTTCTGGGTAATTTTTATTGAGAGCTTCATGTTCCTGACCGTAAGAGTGTATGAATTGATCAGCTGTAAGACAAGATGGATCTTTGCTGTGAAGTCCCGGAGTAATATTTATCCATCTAATCTCAAGTGATGCTAGAAGAGTGCAACAGGGACGTGTGCTTGAATACACAGGCTTGGAGTGATAACAAGTAGGGTCACGTGCAGTTCACTGAAGTTTTTGCACTGAGAAAATGCACGTATTCATAGGAGACGGTGGCTGGAGAAAAACTGCTTGAGCTCTGTCTCCCATAGTGCTTTTTTACCGCTCATCTCTCCCGTGTGTTCTCCATCTGCAGTTGACGTGAGCACAGCACTGCCCTTGCAAGTTGCCCCAACCTCAGTCCCGATGGATCTGCGCCTGGACCACCAGTTCCCCATGCCTGTGACAGAGCCGACGCTCCGTGAGCAGCAGCTGCAGCAGGAGCTCCTGGCGCTGAAGCAGAAGCAGCAGATCCAGAGGCAGATCCTCATTGCCGAGTTCCAGCGGCAGCACGAGCAGCTCTCCAGGCAGCACGAGGCCCAGCTGCACGAGCACATCAAGGTAAGCGGCAGGCAGCCCTGCTGCGGGGGGCTGTGGTTTGGGATGGAGATGACATTCTGGGCTCGGCACGCCACAAGGCTTTCCCAGTTCAGCTCTCAGGCCGGGCACTTTACCTGGCTCCGTCATGCAGGGCAAAAAGGAAATCTTTTTACACACTGGGTAAGTAGGAAGTGCAGTTCAGAAGATGGCTGTTGCATAGTGAAAATGTTAGACGTTATATAAATATTTCACAGTGATAGACTATTGCTATGGTAACATAAGCTTTCAGAATTGCTAATAGGCTCCCTTTTCAAAGGGGGATTAGCATGGCACATGGTAAATAGTGTTAATGTAATATTAAAAAGCAACCTCAATTCAACCTTATATAACTTTCATTTTAATATAAAGTATATGTCAGAGCGGGGAAGATAGGATTAAAAGTTAATGTTGTATTATTTACAGACTTTTCAAGCACAGTTATTAGCCTGCCTTTGCGAGAATACAGGCAGTTTGAAAGTAGATTGACTAACAGCAAATGCCTTTGTCCTTAGTGGGTCCTGCCTGCAGTCTGCTGTCTTTGGGACAGAGGTGTGGGGAGGTGCGTGTGTATATGCACTGATGTACATGCAAATGTTTGTATGCACAGATGTGTGTGGGTGCGTGTGTAATTGTTGTGTACATGTGTGCCTATATGTAAGCTGATTTGGGTAAAAGTCTGCATTAGAAGAAAATCAAGATCAAGTTTTAAGAAGCCAGTTCTCATGGTATATCTAGACCATGAAGTAATGAAGGTCTTCCTCTAGTCTGTAGGGCTGGTTGGATAAAAACTTAAAATAGAAATGAAGCAATCCTGTACAACGAAGGATGATGACCTGTGAGGCCATCTCCTGTAGTAAGTGTGTCATCTTGCCCAGAATTTCTTTTAAAATGAAATGGCATGTTATATTAAAATAAGTCAATCCCACAGTATCTCACAAAGAAAACAAACCCCAGACCAATCAGTGAGCAATTAGGAATGTAGGTTTTTTGTGAGAGCAAACTTCTTGTGTTTGTGTTCGTCGGTCAGCATTTGGATGCTAGATTCACCAGTTTTTTGGTTACTGAGTTTCAGAGGCTGACAGCTGCTCTTGGTGCAGTGGCTGTAAGTGCAGGGAATTTGTTAGTTTGTCTGGAGAAATTAAACTTACAACCACATATTTGAACTCTGAACTCAGAGCTGTTCAGCTGCTTTATGGCTCATGAAAAACAACATGGGAGGGGAGAGAATATTAGAGGAAAGAAATAAAAATCTGAGCATAAGGGTTTGAAATGTGAAATATGGTATAGAAGCGGCTCTGAATGAAGATGGAGAGGTTTTTTATGGAGAAATTCATGTGCTTTTAGAAAATCATGCGTACATACTGCTCTGCTCCAAGCATGCAAGGGGAGGACTGACTCTACATTGAGTCAAGAGAGCTTCCCACTGCTTTTATCCTCCTCTTTGCTGTTGATGCTGCTGACTTGGGGGTGCACAGCACTCCTAAGGTCGTTGGGACCTAAATGCTGGTGCACGTGAAGATGATGGGTCTAAAGCATTATTGCAGAGCAGCTCTGATCCATTGTGTTCTTAACAGAAACACAAGACAGGGATGCAGTTCCTGATCTTTTCTGTTCGCTCCCAACGCTGAGTCTTTAGATTAACTGTAAGAAGGAAACAGCAAATCCCTGACACTCAGAATTAGATGATTGGTTTATGTTGTCACTGATGAGATTAAGAATTTCATTAGTCTCTTGTCTCCAAAGCAAACGGTTCAGTATGCAGGAATAATTCAGACTGAGTGATGTAGTTATGAGTTTCTTCAACTGAAAATATTGTTTTGTAGCCTGAGTAGTTTACAGCACTGCAGTGAAGGTGTCTGTCACTCTCATTAATAAATTTATATTTCCAATTTCCTCTTCAGGCAGACGTGTAGCCTGCTTGAAGGCTGCAGGAGAGCCTGAGCTTGCCTGATTCCTGTTAAGATTGCATGTTAGCACTGGCAACTAGAGTGGACTTGCAGTGTGCCTTACTGCGACATCACTTTTAGCTCTAAGATGTTTTCAGCTCCCTCCAGATATTGGGGTTTTTTGGTGCAGAAAGCAATCTTTCAGCAGCTCCTGCAAGGTAATTGCATACCTTGCAAGCTTGCATGCTTTAAAAAAAAAAAAAAAATAGTGGCTCCTGCAGATTAACTAGAACTTTCAATGTCAGAACAACCTCAGAATGTACTGAGACAGATCAAAAATTAAAATACAAACATAAAAGTTCAAACCTTACAGTCGTATCAAACAAAATGGCAGTTCTTTGACTTTCTCTCTGACATTGGTTTCCTTGGAAATGGTCAGGACCTTTGTTATTCATGCTGTTGAATTCTGAAATTGCTTTGTTGCAGACTGTTTCCGCAATGAGAGGAGAGTTCTGCACCTTCCTGTGTTTTGCATATCTTGATGATGCTACTTAGAATGTATTAATTTGGCTTTTCTCATTGCTGCCTAGCATCCATTTAACCAACAAGTGCAAAGGCAGGGCTTTCTGTGCTTTACCCTGTCTGGTGCCTGTTTCTGAAACGACATGCCTACACCTACAATCTAGGGACTGTATTTCGTTGTGGTGGGGCAGCCTCTGGGTGCAGCTGCATGCACAGAGCAAATACAGCACTGGGTCTCCCGTTTGGCAAGACGTTTGGATCAAATCCCTTTGCACTCTTCCACTTGTAGATGTTGAATAGTTTTTTCAACAGGAACACGCCGGCTGGGTGTCTGCTCCAAAGAGTGTCACACACAGGGTGTAGAGGTGAGGATAGGGATGGTTTTGATGCATTTCTTTAGCAGTTCTTATACCCAAAGGAGGTAGAGTTTGTGTTTAGCGTTTTCGAGTTGCAGCAAGCTGCGCTGAGATTTTAAAGCACTTCTTTGTTTCATGTGTTAAACTCTCAGCTAATACAGCTGCAATTGTGATTTGTGTTTGTTTTCTTTCTTTTGAATACCATGTTGTTGGTATGAGCAGAGAAACTTCTGATTCAAGAGAAGGCTAAGGGAGTGGGGTGGTATCTCTCCCTCTCCGGCCCAGCCAAAGCAGTACTATAAGAAACATCTTAAATTCTTTTTAAGTCAATTAAATTTGGCTTGAGAAACGCTGGCATGTTTTTCTGCATTTCTATTCCAGTAGATAACTTAATCTGAAGTTCTGGTATTTTCCAGAACTTGGTTTTATTCCAGCAGGCTTTAATCATCTGATCTAGAGCAGGAGCAGGCGGGTGGCCGCCATCCCCTGTCCCCCCATCCGTCCCTGCTGTCACAGGCACTCATCAGCTGCTCGCATTTGAGTAGAACTAACGTTAGGAAAAAATGGTCTTCATGTAAAAGGGGGCACATTCCGGAAGATGGTGCAATCTGGAGGAGCAGGCTGAGAGCAAAATGATGTTTGTGGAAGGAAAGGATGTAATGGGACGTAGCTGCAGCTCGACGTGTTGAGGGAGCGGGATCGTCGCGCACAGGGAGGAATGAGAAAAGTCTGACTTGTTTAGGGAAAATTAGCTGAGCCTTCTGAAGACTTCACACCATATGGAAATACAGAAAACTGTCTTTCACAACTACAGTGCAGCTTTGTAAATTGCTGCAACTTGACATCTGAAAGTGGAGCAGGATGGGAACCGGGCTGCAGCGGGCTGGCTGGAGGGATGGACGGGAGCTCAGCTCCAGCACAGCCACTCACCTTTGGTGAAGCAGATTTTCCACGGAGGCGTGCCTCACCAGATGTGCAGCAGTGCTTGTAGCCTTCCAATCTGCCTTCTGAAATAAAAACAAGGATGGAACAAGGAGCCCGGCGCCCAGGCTGTTGCCGGTGAGACTGTGGAAAGGCTCTCTGCAGGTTCCAGCGTGAGCTCGGCCTGACCTTTGATTGTGAAGCCACCGGCAGGGAATATTTTCCTTTCTGAGTCACTGATTCCCAGCCAAGATCAGCTGGAAGTTACCAAAAGCTTTTCCATTTGCCTTCTGGTCAAGAGCTGGAGCTAAACGATCGAAGAGGGGCAGGACGTGTGCTTTGGCGGTGCTGGAGGCATCTGGGGCAGCGTGAGCTCCACAGAGCAGCGAGATGCCTGGTGGGTGATGCAGCTCATCCCTGCCTTTGCGCTGCTCGAGGTTGGAGCAGGGCTTGGAGGAGCTCTGGCTGTTTTATAGCCAGAGCCGGAAAATTTTTCAGGATGCTGACGTACATCAGTGTTAGCACGTGGCAGCAGGCTGCAGCAGTTGCTGATGGTGATGGGGTGGCTGCAGGCAAGCAGCTAAGGCTCACGGTTCCTAGTGAAACTCAAGTCTTAACCTGGAGGAATGCAGTGGTGTTAATTCTGCCATGCAACTCTTCTTTTTTTTTTCTGGCATCAGGTAACAAACTATCAGAGTGTGTATTAGAGCACAGTGCTGTTTGTGTGTATATAAGGCAGAGAAAAGTGCATCTATATGGTGCTCAGAGACATCGTGGGTTCGTGCATAAGTGATAGCACTGTGCATAGGAGGGAGCTCTGTAACAGTGTTCACCAAGGAATGATGCTGGAATTGTTGGGGTTTTTTTTTATTAACACAGAAATTTCATACTTTCAACAGTATGCTTGTGCTGCTGAGTGGCCTCATGCCAATAAATAAAAATATGTGGAATGTTTTCAGACATTGGCTTTATATATAGCAACATTCAGATAAAACACAGGGAAATGGATTTGTTTTTGCTGTTTTCAAATGACGTGTTTTCCATTAGCACGACTTCTGATGGAACTGATGGAGGGGAGATAACATACCGAAGCTGGTAGCATCCGAGTTGGTTATTCAGAGACATGGGGAGGAGCTCTCCAGCCATTCCTTCGTTTTGTTTGAGGGTAGAGGTCTTCCAGGGAATCTGAAAGATTTTCCATGCTGTAAATAAAATGGAATTTCTTTCCAACGATATCTAGGGTTTGTATCATGCTGATGTTGAAGTGAAAAGCTACTCTTTGCTTTCACTTGGTGAC